TAAGGCGACGTAAAAATCGCTGCCTCTCGACCGTATTTGACGTGTCCAAACAGACTGACCACTGTCGCTGTAAAGCAGGGTCAATAACACGAAGCGAAAACAATTGGAATATGAGCCGGCTTTTTCAAGACGCGCTTCCGCCGACGGACTCGAAGTATGGTGTGTGTGTGTGTGTGCGTTTACACAATTAATTTTCTCATGGGTGGTGCGAGCGTTTACACATTACACCAATGAATTGTTAGTACATTTACGAAGTTTACGTAATGTTTCAGAGAAAATATAGAACCTAATTTAATATTAATTTCTATGCATTGTAAAATGAAATATATTTATTTTTAAATCTCAAAGTGTAGGGAAGCGGTGCTTCCCCGTTTCCATGGACCGCACGCCTCTGTCTTTTCTTTCCTATTTTGTATAAAGCTAAATTTAGTGGATGAAAAGTGTTAAGTGCGGTAACGAAGTTTTTTTTTCAGCCTAATACAGATTTTAGTGAAATTATCTTTTATGTATGTAGGTATGTTTCATTTTTAGTGTGAGAATGGGTAATGTATTTAATAAACTGTATTATTATATATGGACATCACCCTATACAATTTATTTCTATTCTGGTATCTTGTACTGTTTTTTACTGTATGGCGATAACGCCGGCTTCTATGTGGAATCACCGAATAAAGGCACTTTCAATTCAGAATTTAATTAAGTTTTATTATAAATTGGAATTAAGGGAAAAATAATAATATAATTGTAGTTCTTAAGGAAATTAGGGATATTACAATTCCCACTATGCATAAAAACGTTAAATTAATGAGAACTTTACATCATATTGTTACATTGTAACTTTGATTTTTATTCTTGTTTTCATCTATAGGACGAACTCATAACCGCCTAAGCCCAGAGTAGGGATGTTTACTTTTGTGATGAAACAATGTAGACGTTGCGGTGATATTATAGCGCTACCTTGTTACGTTATTCAACGTTACTGGAAGTTTCCAAAAATGATGTCTTTTTAACAAACCAGATGTGACATTCCTGTTATATCCAATAGTCTTCTTACTTCTTGTGTAGATGTTTTTACAATGATCATAAAATAAAATCATGAATGATCCAAATGTGACGTTCATACCTTTTGATTTTTATCTTTTAAATTTTATATGGACTATAAATATTTTATATATTTCATCTATATAAAACAGAATAGAAATAAATAAACCTGTACCTGAAGTTAAAAACTTATAGGATACAAGTTACACTTCTGTTCTAATCCCAGGAAATTTTACATAAAAGTATGATAATACAATAGTCAAAATTAATGCAAAGGTAAAAGAACTTTGATAAAATACTTAATACTGTGCAACAGACTACTCCATAATACAGTGCTACCGGTTACTTAAATAGCCAGCGGTCATTGGTATCTCCATCTATGAACGCGGGACGAACTGTTACGTCTGCCAGGTCTGCGATGTAAAGACCAAAGATAGCCATCTTAAAGATGTGTAACTTGTACACATTACTGTATTGACCTATATGCGATATTGTTATATAAATTAACATCGTATAAATGTTTCTCACAGGAAGTAACTAAAAAGAAGTACAAAAGGTGTTTATGTAACTGCAAATTCAAGTATTCCAGCGTACATAAAACTTTAATTGTAGATATATGTGAGGAATGTTAATGAATATTATGTTAAAATTTAAACATCTATGGGATATTTTAGTACCGTTTTAAAAATATATCAAGAAAAGTCTCTATGAGAAACGTTACAAAAAAGACTGGTAATGTTTCATGTTTAGTGGGTTTGGACGTCGAATACTGGACATTCAAAAAACGTAGAGGATTATATTTCCTTTTTTCTCCACTTTTTTTTACACAACCTCAACTCACCACACACTATTTTATATTATTATTAATTTATTTATTATTTTCACAACCCGCTATATACTATTTATTTATTTTTTTAATTAAAGAACGCTTTACCTGAGCAGGGATCGAACTCACGACACATCCATATTATCGTTCTACACTTTCAATTGCCAGACAATTTCGACCAAGGAGCCACTTGAAAACTTTTTACTAGATAAGTTATAATGGAATAAGATTTCAAACTTCTGCTGATGGAATGAAACGCAATAGATTCAATTTGTCATTAAAAAAAAGGAAGTGGGGTATTCTCTGGTAGGCTAAATAAATAATGACTTAAGATGACTGGATGTCAAAATACTACTAAACTTACAGTTCATCAAATTTCTAGAGGTGTTCGACGCCCAGACAGAGAACGCGCTACGTGTGACTAAGATAGCTATTGTACAGTCTGCTAAACAAGTTATTTTAAATAGTTTTTAATATTTTTAGATAATTAAATTTTAAAAGTGTGGAATAGTTTAGGGATTAAATTGGTCTGATTGGACTTTCTTAGAACGTTTTTAAAAGCAGCTAAAGATAGTATGTAGAATTGAAAATAATTATTACGCCATAAAAGGTGTTTTGGAATTCCTTCAACCTTTTGAAATTGAGTCAGAAAATATAAATTTTATAGGATAGAGCAAAATACCTATAATTTTTTTGTAGGCCTTTGTAAATCCTGGAAATAGTTTATATTTTATTTCTACCTTATTAAGGAAAATGGTACCTATTATTAATAACGGTTGTTTCTGAAACATTACTAAAATTTTCGAAATTTTGTTTTTCTACAAAATAATAAACTATACTATTTAAAAAAAAATTATTTCTCTTATAATTTTATAAAAAATAACAGGGCAATATTTACATTTCTTGATCTATTAAACAAAACGATAAATTACCTCGACGAATGACACCATGTTCTAGTACGGAACTAGCTTTACATTTTTGTTGGTGGTTTCATGGGTTTCATATCAATTTTTTGTAATTGTAGTTTACACGTACATATACCTCTTAACACTTGTTTGCTTTATTAAAAAAGTGTGTTGTTGTGATTTACGTCGAAATAAGTCAAAAACAACTTGAAACCCCATATAAAATCAAAAAGGAGAAACGGAAAAAAATTGAGCCTGTAAATGAACACAACTCAGAAACAAAAATAGCTATCTAATAATAAAAAAATAAAATTTGATTCTTGTGCAGCTTCATCTATATCATTAACTGTTTTTGGTTTTTTAATGGTTTTTCTTGGTGATGAAAATTCCGATATCTCACGGTTATCGATTCTTTTTTTCTCTCCAGAAATGCGGACGACAGTGTTTTTAGATACTCCTGTGGCTGCAGCAACACGATCATTTACATTTTTAAATGGTATTGAAGGTGAATTAAAGTTTCCTTCTCTTTTCATAAACTCTATAACATTGGCTATTATTTCGCGAGATTGACTGTTAATCACGCGGCCTCTTAATTTGCTATTAAACTCCATACTTAGGTTCTATTAAACTGTAATGAGCAAAAAACACAAACGAAAATAAAAGAAATGTTTTAGCGAAATTTACATCTGACATTTACGTCTGAATGAAATAGTGAAATACTTGATGCGCAGAGTGTACTTTCATTGCGTCCGTCGGGATGCCTGTCAGTAGTGCTTTCTCTGTCTAGCCGTCGAAAGCCTCTAGAAATTTGATGAACTGTAAAATTAAGTCCAAAAACAGACATTCTCTGGGTATCGATACTCAGCTGTTAAATTAATTATCATAAACGGACGTACACTGGATGCCCGGATATGGACGTCCTGGCCCTCAAATTGATCTAAAGTGGACGTCCATTGGACTATGTGTGCTGTCTGGGCATAGACGAATTTTTAGAAATAGTATATATTTGAGAATTTACCAATATTTCCAAAATCAACTCCAGTCTGATTCATTCATTAAATGTAAATATGAATAGGCAAAACATCTTTGTATTGACATAATTAAAGACAGAAGTGAATAAAGGTTTCATGTCACATTAAAAAAAAAATTATTTTTATGGCCTAATATACTTAAAATATACCATATTTTTTGTTTGTGATAGTTCTGATTTTCAATTTTGATAAATAGCGGCTATTTATTTATAGCAAGGTATCATGAGTCACATATCATACAGCAATTATTGTAAAACTTTAAACTTGTATTTCTCAAAATAATCTTTTTGTGACAAGACATCTTTATTCACTTGTATCTTCAATGGCAACTTATACAATATTTCGTCCACTTTGACCAATTCTAACTGAAACTACTGAAAGACTTTTCTCAAAGAAACACGCGGATTTATTATATTTTTTATTTATAATTTCAAAATAAAATAAACGAAATCTGCAGTTCATTGTTTATTAAATTTATTTAAAAGAAGACAAACATATATTTCACAAAATGCAATACATACCTACCTATGAAAAATAAAATATCAAAAATGATTAAATCATTATACTTAATATTTAAACATGTGATAAAATTCTTAGTTTCCTAATAACTTTTTTGGCACATTTTATATCTCTGTATTAGAATACCTAAGTGTGTAAAAAATCTTCATCTTGTTATAACACAAAACAAACACCAAAAAATATCACTTAGCTCACGTAATAAACACAACTTGGACTGATTTGGACAGAACATCATTTTGTGTGATACACAACTTGTTTTAGCACATGCGCGTAACAAAACGGTACACTGAAAACACCAAGCTGTCGCTTCTCCTTGATCGGTATTCTAGGCAACAAAGCGCAACTGAAATAAGAAGACACGTGCAAACTGTAACTAATAATGCGACACCCTTTTGTCAGAGGACTTGGGGTATTTCTATCACTTTAGTTACCCAAGCGCCCCAGTCTCAACTTCGCACTTTGTTGAAATCAATGGACACGTATCATAGCACAATTTAATATTAAATGAAATCAATGGACACGTATAGCACAATTTAATAATAAATTCAGTCATAAGAAAATAAGTCACAAATCTGCACGTTGTATGTAGGACTATTTCCATAATCAATGAAAATTAACTATCTAATGAAACCCTAACATAATTTGACATTGATTTTTCACTGCGTGAAGTTTGTCAAAATGGTACACCAGTCAATTAAAGTCTATGCAAGAATAAGGAGAGGTTCTCCGGGAAAATTAGAGGTAAATTACATATAATTTATCCACTAATCTTATTCTCTCAGATTTAAATAATTTTAGCAATATAATATAATAACGAAGAAAGAGTATGAAAATCTGATATTTTCCAATATTTATGTGTCTCCGGCCACTTTCAACCAAGGTTTCAGGAAAGTATTTTAGATTTTTAAAATAATAACGACTAATTAGAAATATAGATAATATTACACAGAAAGCTAAAAAGTTTATAGAAATATCAATATATCTTCAAAAATATACAGCTAAAATAATGTGAAAATAACATTTTGGTCAAAACAAAACCAACATGGAAATTACTGAATTTGTAAAAATTAAACAGGTAAAAGTTTCGTCTGGGCTAAGAGACTCTTGCTTTATTTTATATTGAGTTCGCAAGTTATAATTCGACGTATAATCTAGAAGGAATTGGCGCGTGAGTTTCGAAAATTATTAGGACACAATTTTTTGATCAGAATCTTCAATATTATACAAAATAATGTATAAATACAGTTTACCATGCGGCAATGTGGTCTCATTTTGTTTAAAACGAAATTGTTTAAACAATTATTAAATAGTGTTAATTTTAAACGGGCCATTTTTTTTGATATTATTAATTTCCTATTTTTATCGTGTTCTTCAAAATTACTAATTGCGCATTTTAATATATTATAATAAATTCTTACTCTTGTGTACAAATTCAAACAAAATAGGAAAGTGGGAATTGAAATATTGAAAACAAGAATCCGACAAATGAATTTCTTTACAAACAAGAAGTTTTTGACATGAATTGTTTTGTATGCAGTATTCCAATTTTTTTTAATAGAATTTCCAGAGCTATTATTAAAAAAACGAAATTAGTATAGAGTATGCAGACTGCCAAATTGCTCTGAATATGTATGTATAGGTATAAGCCTTATAAACGAAAAATATGACACTCTCATTAATTTCCTTACTATTTGCATTTGCGTAATTAATGAAACAACCGCACGTATATGTTCAGATAAACATTTTCTTTATTAAGTTACCACATACATACATACATTCATACATATTTACCAAAAATGTTCTCTCAAGGGTGGAGATAAATATGATATCAAAAATTATAGCAGTTTGCAATCAGTCCTCTCTATCCCAAAAGTGTTCGATAAACTTATTTATAATGATTTATTGTAGCAATGTAAAGCTATAACAAACATGGGTTCTTGGGAGGAAAGTCCACAACTAATAACTTGGTTTTGTATGAGGTTGCGCTGTTGGGTGCCTTGGAGAGTGGTAAACAAGTCGATGCTGTTTATACTGACATCTCCAAGGCGTTTGACCGAGTTAATCATGAGATAATTTTAATGAAGTTGGGATCAATTGATTTTCATGATAATTTGATAGCTTGGATACGTAGTTTTTTAACTGAAAGGGTTCAAATGGTAAAAATCAATAATTTTATCTCAAAACAAATAGCAGTTAGTTCTGGAGTCCCACAAGGTGCACATTGTTCACTTCTGCTCTTTACAATTACAGTTAAATAATTTTATAAATTGGTGTCAGATGAACGGGCTTCCTTTAAATACCAATAAATGTTCGGTTATAAGCTTCTATAAAAGAACCTCCAAGATCCTCTCTGAATACCAATTGCACAATGATGAACAAGGCAGGGTTCAAATATAGAATTGAAGACTAATTAATAAAAAACTTTTTTTTCAAGTTTATTTTATTTTATAAATAAGTAAAAGTCATAAATTATTTATTTCATCTGAACAACCTAAACAATTTTTTTAACTTTGTAGGTTTTCGTTAGCGGGACGCAAAAAATATACTGCACAAACTACTATTTTAAATTATAATTATAATTAAAAATTAGTGATACTTTTGAAAATTTGATAAATAATAGCATTTCACATGATCTTCGTCTGTATTTACAAAAAAACCATACATTTTAATGGAATCATATAAAATTAATTATGAGTATTAAAAAAAGTTAGGTGTGTCGATAGAGCTGAGACTTGTCATGGGGAAAGTCTGGGGTAGAATTCTCGAGTCTCGCATGAAAATTGTCGCACACGGCAAATGTCGCATACCAAATTCGCATGGTTGTTAAAAATCGTCCTGGGGCTCCGCAAAGCCTTTGTGGGGGCTCCGCAAAGCCTTTATGGGGGCTCCGCGAAGAAAATAATAGTCATAATAAAAAAAAAACAAGAAGTAGTACTATCGCCACAAAAGGGAGGGATCTGTCTTGAGGACTTTTTTTAGAAATGTGTTTAGGGCTCCGTCAAATATTTCGCTTTTTAAAAAGGTTCCGTCGCCAAAAAAGTTTGAGAAACACGAAACACTGCCTTATAAAGTCGAAAATGCTTGATAAATAACACATCATTAATTTAAAAGGGATTTTTTATAGACAAACTTCTTCCTTCTATGCTGTCACTCTTTAATAGCCAGAGAATGTTAATTTCTTCAAAATCTGCCACATCCATATTTGAGCTCCACAAAGTCGCATACGAATTTAAATTCGTTCACTTTAGACCACTCGTGTTGAATTCACCTGACATTTGTCGTATGCTGTTTTCGAAAATACACTTTTTTAAAATTACCTAGTTGCTATTCGACATTTCACTAATCTCGCATGCGAATCGAGATATTCGACATTCGAGAATACTACCCCAGGGGTTAAAAACTGATTAAAGACTATTAAAATAAAATCTTTCTTTTAAAGTATATTTTATTTTATAATATAGTAAACATAAATCATTTATAACAAAAAATATACTGTACAACTTGAGTAGATTGTCCGTACTTAAACATGCATAGAGTGTGATGGTTTGGATCCATAAACGTTCCTATTTTCGGATGATGCATCTTCTATAATTCCTTTTGAAAGTAAAATGTCTTCTATGAAAACTTAAATTTCTTCTGTTTTTTTCTATAAAAAATTTCTGATATATCTTCTTTGAATAATTAAGATTCTTCTTTAGAAAGTAAAGTTTCTTCGGACATTTCTCAGAAAATAAAGATTCGTCTGACATATCTTCTTTAGAAAAGAAGGTGTGGTCCAAAATGGCTTCTCTAAAAACTGAAATTTCTGCTGATGTAAAAAAAAGATAAATTCAGTTAAAGAGAAAAAATGACATTCGTTGAGGAGAAAATAAAAGAGATGGAATTGAAGAAACAGAAAAGCAAGACGTGGAACATACGAAACGGACCAAGGACTGTTGTAAGAAATATACTACCCGCGCTATGAGTAATGGACCTCAAAGGAAAAAGAAGGGTCCCATGAAACAATACAACGTCGGCGACACATTTGAGAATATTACCTTAGATATTGATGGACCATTCCCCATAACCGAGAATGGTCAGACATTTTGAAAGTCAACTTTTCCGAGGAATTAGAGACAGACTAGGCATGAAGAAAACCAGAACTACAGCTTTGCACCCATAGTTTGATGAAATGTAGAGCGAATGAATAAGACCATTGGCAAATACCTGCTAAAAGGGTCAATGAATAAACAGGCCAAATACCAGCAAATATATAGCCAGTGAAGATTATGTGATCCAGTTACGAAGAAAAATGGACGAATGCATGAGTTGGTTCTCTCACATCTTCAAATCGCCAGCGACAGGATGAAGAAACGGTACGATACCCAAGCCACAATAGGTTGTTTTAAGGAAGGCGACATTGCCTGGCTCCATAACCCAAAATGACAGAAGAGTTATTCTCTGAAGCTTCATTGGTCTTGGGAAGGTCCGTACATCAAGCAAAAAATTGATGATATTATTTGAATCGGTCGTTTGAGAAAGCCCATAAGTCACAAATTTGACATAGTCCAAAAATGGCAGATTCTTATTGCTAACACTTCAGTGCACATTTCAACGAGAAATCCCATTAGTCGTAGCACTCCTTGTATTAAATTTTCAAACGTCACAATCTGCTTTACTTGAGAAACCCTATAGTCGCTGACTAATGGTGTTCCTCTAATACAGGTGGCGCACGAGCTAATACAAGCAGCTGTCGCAGATTGACCGAAATTATGTTAAAAATACCTGTGCGATCCGTAGGGATGAAAGGATTAGTGCTTGGGTGAAAACATCACTTTCTAATTACTTACTTTATTTTAAAACACTATTGAAACTCTGTTAATTTTATTACATGGTTCATTTACAAACTTTTTACACTATATACAGACTTTTCTTCGGAAATTTGTTACTTAAGCACTCAAACCATCTTGTAGAACGATGTGTTGTGTGTGAGAGGTACTGAAGATCTGCCGGAAGAGAAGTTGTTCAGCTAAATTGAGAGTGACGCTTGACGTTGACTTGAATTTTATAAAGATAACTATAACTGGCCTACTGTTGATAAACGTGACCATGAATAAAAAGTAAACCAACTCCAAGAAATACCCAACCTTGTCTTTGAAGAATTTATGGGTGCATATGGAGGTACCGGGAAGGCAAGATATGGTATTCCAACCGAGCAACAACAAGATCTGCTCACGCTTCCAAAAGACTACTCGCTAGCATATAGCATTCCCACCATCATCAATGATGCGCGAGGACTGTCATCTGTTTTCCAAAATAAGTTTGGTTGTTTACCAGAACTTCAAGGTCCCTAAGAAAAACTTTGTAAACTTCAAGATTTATCACGTTACCTTTTCTATCTGCCGAAGATATAAGGTAATCAGCTGGATTGGAGAATTAATAGAAACATGGTGTAAGTAATCTTCCAAGCTACCAAATACTAATCTGCAGTCTTTCGCTCAGTGTCCAGGTTACAGCAAAGATCGTTCCTTGTTACTTTTATGCGATTTAAAATTGTAAAAGATAGTTCAAGTTCCGTAAAAGTTCGAGGAGGAAATATCTGTTAAGGAGGATGCAATGTCATGGGAACCATTCTCGACCAATCCGGTTCTACCTTTGTTGTCGCCAGCACGTCTGCCAATATGGTCGTTGAGTTTACTATGCGAAATTACTAGATTAATCTACCACGCGATGAACTGCAACGATGGCGATACTTGGTCAAAGATTCTAGACTGGTCTGGACGCTCTCGAACAGATCTAGCTCTCTCCATTTTGTATATAAATAAACTATTGGGTTGTTGAAGAAACAGTTTATAGAGAGAAGTTGAAGATATACATTCGAATTGTTAGATAAATTAGATTATAAATGTGAAATATAAAACGTCGTCGTAGTTGTGAAGGGTCCTAATACACAAAACATTCAAAAATTGGTTTGGAGCCATTTTTGATTCAACCATAAATTAATTTATCATTTCTAAAATATACATTTTTGCCAAACTAACTATTGGTCCTCTCCCACAACTCGATTAGAAGTGAATAGTTTTATGTCAACTGGAACCATTCACTCACAAGTTCTTCATACGACTTCAGGGAAACAATGAATTGTGAAAACTTTTAATACCCACAAACAGCAAATTTTCACTTACCGTTGTTTACAAAATGTCTAGTCAATTGGTTTTTGAAAAGTAACTGAACAATTTTAATTTACTCCAAACTCTTCATTACGACATTACGACAACGAAATACAGTAGAATCCGAATTTATCGACTTCTTTTATAACGGCTAACCGTTTTTAGCAAACTCAAGTTATGTTTCATATAGACTGTACTATGAAAACATATCCGTATAGAACAACTCCGATTAAAGCGACCAACTGCTTATAGCGACCTATTTTGATCTATTTTGACCTATTTTGACAATCGGTTAGAACGACGCGCAGGGTTTTGTTTACAATACCAATGCACAAACAATACCTCGCCGCCCCGCGTCCCTCTCAATGTGTTTGTTCAAACTAATTTTGATGCTGATGATGTAATGAAAAGTATGATGTCTCGTATTTACAATGCAATAAGAAGTAATTACTATCGAATAAAAATCGATCACAAAGAAACTAAAATTACAAACTTTCTACATTAGTAAATAATCTCTGATCAAACTGTATGTTATCAAACTTATGTATATATCTACGGTGCAATGTTTAAGAACCATTAAAATGATTTTTTGCTAATTTTAATACATATTTGTTTTATTCATTATCCGTCGTTTTGTGCGACGTCCGGTTAGTACCTACGAAGTAATACCGCTGGACCCTTGACCGTCGTTATATCCGGATTCTACGTGCTGATATAGAAAAAGAAGTATTTAAGTATGCATAAATTAATTAGTATTTAGTGTATGTAAATAAATTATAAATAATAAACTGTTCTAAATAAATAAACGACATAGTTATTTTAATTTGCATTTCAATACACATACATATTATTATTAGATATTATGACAGTTAAACTGGTATTTTAAGGTCTTATAAAGATATTGAAACATGTTTTTAGTTAAGATAAGTTAATCGAAATCGAACTATAAAATCTTTATTCGCAATTCTCACTGATATGTATACAACCTCCCTGATAAAATGACGATTTTTAATGAAGATCTTGCAATTTTAAAGGTTGAACAGAATGAAAACAAATTTACGAATGGCTCGTGAAAAACACATGGAAAATTCGATTTTCCTTAATATAAATATTTTCCAACCGAAATATGCACTAATCAATTCGGGTCATTCATGCCAATATGTGGCGATGTACATTTTCATACATTCGATGGGTTGTGTAGAAAAATCGGTTAAAATATCGATTTTTCCTTACAAGATATTGCCCTTAATTCAACTTTGTAGCCATTTGCAACATTAAAGCCTTTGGTTTTCCGAAGCCTAGTTCTATTAGTTAATCATTTAGTGAACACGGCTTGCCTGAAAATATGGCAACAAATACCTTTAATGTTTGTTAAGGAAAGTCGAATTTTCCATGTTATCCATGTTTCTACTCAAAATCGATGTATTTTTCAACCCTCTTCAAGGCTTGTCTGCGAAAATTGGGCACCTAAATTGTCTATTTATTATTAAAATACAATTTTAGGTTTCATAAAATATTCGATAAGAATACATCTCAACCAGAAATATTCGAGACTCTAGCGAAACCTGTAATTTGTAGGTAAGTCTAAATCAAAAGTACATTATTTCTTTTTTACGGTTTACGCGAAAGAACAGTTGTCAGTGTTAGCCTGGGCGCAAGTTAAGTTCGCAGGGTGATACAATGAAACAGGATCTTCGCACAGGAAGAGTGATAGTATCGCCTGTCCGGTGTCTGATGTCGTATTTATTTTGTGACGTTGTGTCAGCATTAAAAAATATTCAATCTTTACTAAGTTCAAAATCTCATTTTTATGATTTCGAGGTCCAAATAATTGTAACATTATTTCAAGAAAAGCTTCCGTAAATTAGTTATTTAAATAAAAGATAGAAGCACGGGTAATTCATCCATTATAAGAACTATTACATGTAAGGTACAATAAAAAAGTTTTCTGACTCTTGTCTTGAATTTCTCCTCCATCGTGGACTTCATCGAAAAACAGAATTTGTCACGCCCGCCGAGCAAATCGTTTATGGCACAGTTTAAAGAATATATATTCTTTAAACTGTGTTTATGAAATCGCTGAATCTAAATCACTTATCACTTCACTTTGCGTGCGAACATTCGTTTCTGTGTTTCACAGAAACTAACGGTGAGACACCTCACCTCACCGAAGTGCACTAGTGGTAAATGAGCCAGTGATTCGTTTTTTGGTACTCATTTGCGCAATGCTAATTTACAAATGTATCATTCATTCTTGCCTTGTAGAAGATGCATGCCCAACTTTGGATTTCGCGACCCAGGTTCAATTCCCTATGAGAGCAATTTTTTTAATTTATTTTGGAAAAAATATCAAACATGCAAAAATACGACTAATACTGCTGTTTATTTATTTAAAACTCATTTTATTTATTCTAATATAACCCCTAGAGTTAGGTTAAAATAGAGTTACTCTCACTTGGGTCCCGGGATATAACGGGGTACAGGGTAACGCCATTGCAGATAGTCTCGCAAGGAAAAAAGCTCAAACACTCTTTGTGGGACCTGAGCCGTTCTGCGGTATCAGCAGTAACATAATCTTGGGAGAGATTAAAAAAGAATTGGGTAGTAGAAGAACCGATAATTGGAACAATCTCTTGGGGCTGAGACAGGCTAAGATACTTCTGGGTGAATATAACCAGAAAAGATCGGAAGTCTGCATCTGCCTGAGCAAGAACAGACTATGTATTTAAACAGAGATCCTTACCGGGCATTGCCGACTAAAAGGACACCTTAATAAACTGAGAGTAGTAGAAGAAGATAGTTAGTGCAGATTCTGTGAGGAGGAGGACGAAACCTCCATTCACATTCTAACTGAATGTGTAGCACTCCAGAATCCAAGAGAACTATATCTAGGAGCATATCAAATAGAAGAGGGAGATTTACCTTACTTGAAGCCACTCCAAATCCTACACTTCCTTGAGAAGATAGGATTGGAAGTGTTTTTATAGGCATTGAGACATTTCCTTGCTGCATTTGTAACAGAAGGGGGCACAATAGATCTTTTAGGTCGCAGTGTATTAACACCCCATTCCCAACATAACATAACATACAATAGATATACGAACCTTAATATACCTATATTTAAAATTTAACTATTTATTTTAGCGTTATCGAAGGCTTTAATGGGACAATTTTCGCTTACGGACAGGTTAGTCAAGATTATTTAAATTTTTGCATAATTTCGCAATATACATGCATCATCTTCATTGTTTTAGACTGGAAGTGGGAAAACTTTTACTATAAATGGCTCTTCTAAAGAATACAGTCAGAGAGGCATTATTCCTAGAAGCATACAGTATATTTTTGATCATTACACTAATGTAAGTAAAAAATTTGTTCAACATACTTCATATTAAACTGTATAAGCAAAACCATAATAAACGGAGAATCCCAATAAAAGGGAACACCAAAATGTTGTCGATTTTGTTCTACGAGTATCATGAATCATCGGAATAGTAAAAACCTAATCTGTAATGATTTTATTTCTCAGATTCGTGTTTTGATTCTATTTTAAATTCATTTGTAGTAATTTTAAATGCGTTAGACAAATACTTAATATTTTTTATTTACTAGATACCAGAAAAACCAACTATTTACATTTCTTATATGGAAATTTATAATGAAATTGGATATGATCTACTCAGTACTAAACAACAAAATGTTGCAAAAACTCTAGAAGAACTACCGTAAGAACCTAAGCCACTAATGATCCTCCTTATTAAATGTTAATACAGTGGCGGCTAGTGATTTTAAAGACATTCGGTATTCTGAAAGATTCTGCCTTCCCCTCCCTCCAAAAAGCAAAAGCCATGGATACTATTTAATAATTAAAATTAATGAAATTATCCATAATATTTTACGTATATTTTAGAATGTATAAAATAATTTCTGTAAAATGTAGATGAAATACGTGCATTTTTTTTGGCAGTTCTGCAGTTCTACAGCATTTATGCACCAGCCGCCACTGTAATATTCGATTTTTCAAATTTCAATAATAAATCTGTTATAGCCGAGTTTTTGTGATGGAAGACAAAAAGGGTGATGCTCACCTAAGAAATTTGAGCGTTTATCCTGTTACAACAGAAGAAGATGCCATGCGTTTATTATTTATGGGCGATACAAACAGGTAGTTATATGAGCTCTCTTATTACGATATCATAAGTGTTATAAATATACATATACAAGGTGTTCCAAAATTGCGTGTACATGGAGATGCCACAGTTTTATGGGCTCAAAATAATTTATTTAATTAAAGGAACCAAAAGAGGTTAATGGCCGCAGGCAACTGCAGGATACAGGGTAATAATATGTATAACTATATAACTACATAATATTTAAATGTTTAATTTAATAACTTATAGCTCTGAAATACACTCATATGCAAGAAATTTGATCCATTATAATATTTCTCACTTATTGTGACTTTTAAAACTTAGAACTCGTTATATGACATATACCGAGTATTCAAATTAAAGTATTACAGTTAAATACCGCCGAAAATATGCATTTTAGAAAAAAGTTTCAGACAAAAGTTTTATAGTTTTTTGGGGAAAACATTTTCTAAATTAATTTTTTTATAGCTGACCATAATATGGCCATATCAAGGTGGATTTTGTTTTTAAATTGGAACCCCATTTTTTTACATGTTCTTAAAGTACATAAAAAAATAAGAAACTTTTGAGGGAAATATTTTTTTATTGGACTTTCACTTTTTGAGTAACAGCTTCTTGAAAATTTTGCTGCGCGAAAAAAAAGTTGGTCATATTATGGTTAGCTATAAAAAACGATTTTAGCCAAAATTATTTCCCCACAAAACTATAAAACTTTCGTCTGAAACGTTTTCTTTATAAAAGGCGGTGTTTAGCTGTAACACTTTAATTTGGACACCCGATATAAATTTAGAGAAACCCTCGTACATTTATTTACATCTATTATTGCCTCTTACATTTATACCAGATCTCAAACTGATATCTGCAAAAAAAAATTTCTTCGCTAAAAAATAGGAATGGATCGAATTTTGTGTACCTGAGTATAGGAGATTTATTAACACTTTTAGATTAGTGTTCTATTAAATTAGCTATATCGTGTCCTGACGATTGTTTTAAGAACTGTTTCAGAAAGTGTTTTAATCTAGAAAACGTTTCCTGCTGTTTAACTTCCTCTGGTAAAAAATTCAATATCAATTTGTTGCAGTTTATTTAAAAACTAATTAAAGATGCACTAAGGTTACATTGATACATGGGGTTTACTTTGAATACAACTGAAGTTGTGGTAAAAACAATCCGCCGGTATCAAAGTTCAGGGCCGACGAGTGGGGGGGTAGCCGGGACAAATTCCCGGGGCCCGGACTCAAGTGAGGCTCGGTAGCGGCATAAGGGGGGCCCGGTAGAACGACGTCTTTTATTTTTTTTTTAGAAGTTTGTCATAAGAGCACAAGAGAGAGGACTTTTTTTTAGAGATATCACTAAAGAGGAGGAGAAGTTTTTGCTTGAAGACCTTTTTTCTGAAGGGCGTAAATTGTCGCAGGCCCCGCCCTGGAAAATTGTCCCGGGGCCCGACCTGGCTCTCGGCGGCCCTGTCAAAGTTAACCCAATACCCGTTACTATTGTTTTTAAGTTGCTTCACTATTCACTCAATGTATGCCTACAAAACAAACAATTACGCATCAAATTAATTTGTCTCATGGGAAGTTAAAATCCATGTTTTTTTTTTCAAAAAGGGTTGGTACATAACGGCGACGCATGTCAAACAAGGGTAACTTTTTGAGTAAAAACTCCATAGTTTCCTATTATAATGCCAGAAATGTTAAAAAGTGACAAAAGTGACATAAAAAATAGGAAAAATATCCGTTGCTATCGCCTTAATAGAAAAATTGTTCCTATTGGTTTTATTTGGCCATGAAACACCCAGTATTCGCACCAAGTTTGACCTCTTAAGATGGCTGAATTCTGGAGATTAAAGAAAAAAACCAGGTATTTTTATACAACTTTGTTGACCTCTAGCGGGCAAACGAAGCAAGTTGGTATATAGGTAAGTTTGGTTCAATCAATTTATTTTGAGCCCAGAAATCTGTGGTAGCTCCATGTACACGCAATTTCCGGTTATCCTGTACATTCGTTTGAAAAACCCAAATACATTTTTTTAAATATTTCAAAACATGAAATAATGAAATAACGAAAACTATTTTTCCATGTCTATAATAATATACAACTACATTTTCTCAACAATTGTTGATTAAGAAATGTGGTACATTTTTGTATTTCTTTATTTGATAATTTTAAAAACACAAAGTAGTCATTCCCTAATTATTTTATTAAAATTATGTGTGTCATGAAATGTCAAACATTATATAATTATAACTAATTAAATATAGTGTTATAATCACAGAAAATGTATAATGTTCAACTTTCAAGGAATGCTCATTTCATACTCGTATGATTTACAGGGCCGCCGAGAGCCAGGTCGGGCCCCGGGACAATTTTCCAGGTGGGGCCCCATGACAATGTCATAAAAAAAGTCTTCAAGCAAAAACTTCTCCTCTTTAGTGAAATCTCAAAAAAAAAGGTTTTCTCTCTGGTGCTCTTGTGGCGAACTTCTAAAAAAAACGTCGTCATCTAAAGCTGCCGGGCCCCCACTTGAACCCGGGCTCCCACTTGAGCCCGGGCCCCGGGAATTTGTCCCGGCTACCCCCCCCCCCCTTGTCGGCCCTGATGATTTACAGCATTCATCTCCGGCTCATGCTGTAATAGTCCTTTCCCGTTATTGATGATCTATTACTCATGTTCAAATCCTACTTGCTCTTAAAATCATAAAAAAATGTTATTATATTTCCTACCCTAAGTTCCAGTTTCACGGTTTCACATTCGCAAATGTCATTTTGTTTTTGCGTTCGATAGTATTGGTAGGGGAGCCAGTGGTACTTTTAGGTATGTTATTTGCGAAAGAGAAATATACAAATATATCATATATTCTTACCTTTTAGAACATATAAATAGTTTTCTGCAGCAACGAAGACGAAGTCTTAAAAAAGCTTGTTTAGAAAATGCTGTCATAGAAAGTTTTAGATATTATTTACATTAAAATTTAACAGTAAAAAGTATGCTGTCACTTTCTTTAAATTCAGTTCAAATCCAGTACCTTACCACTTGCTGACAGGACAGGATGTTTGTTAATAATATGTAGTATTCTCTAACAGAAAAAATTATCGTTGCGTAAATACAACATATAATATGTTATATTCCAAACTTGAAAGTTTTCCACCGCTACTAAGATGGCAGCAATCTTTTTTCAACATTGTTGTTGTATTTTCAATATTGCTTTTTGAAGGCGTCGTCATCGAGCGCTCTATAGCTGATACGTGTACAGCAAAGTATTTCCATCTTTTACACGGTAAAAAAACGATAAATTACACTGACCAAAAAAGTTACACTTTTTGACTGATGAATGACTTATGTCACATGATGTTTACTAATTTTGAGTCGCTGATTCTAAATATACCCCTACTTTTTTCTGACAACTCTTGTTTACGAGTTATAGCTTTCACTAAAAATTCGCAGTATTATAGTGTTTATTTGCAGTTTATTTAATAATAATTATTGAATTTTTATACATATTTAATTTTATTTGGAAATACCATTAATGTATAATCCTCTTTAACGACCCCTCTGTTGTACAACCGCGGACACCCCCTGTAGTTTCTTAGAACATACTTATAAAGGTAAAAGTACCTCTCTATAATGACTGGTAAAACCCAATTTCAGAATTCTTAAGAAATTATCTTTTGTTATTTTAGGGGAAGGTTTAGTAAGACAATAGTGAAATTATCTTCCTTGTTTGAATTATTGTTTTATTTTGTAATTTGATATGGCATCGTCAAGAAGAGTATGTGTGAATGATTCAAACAATTTTTGTTTCATTTGCCGAGAGTATGTATTTAAAAAATACCGTTTAAATGTGACAACGTTCGTAAATGAGGCTTACAAAAATTACTTTGGGCACCCGCTGGAAATGAAGAATAAGGTATGCAAAACATGCGTTGAGTTTCTACGTTTATGGACAAATAAGAAAAGACATAGCTTCAGGTACAAAACCTCTATGATTTGGAATGAACCCATGAACCACCATGACGATTGTTATTTTTGTTTGGTGAACATAACTGGTATTAACCGAAAAAATCGAGCCAAATGGGAATATCCTTCCATACAATCGACACATAGACATGTCCTGAGTCCTAAGTCTACACCCGAACCTCAATCTGGTACAGGAAGAACCAGAAGATTTTGAGACGAACAACGACAGTAGTGATAGTGACTTTGAATGCGATCTGGGAACGCCAAAACCATTCAATCAAGATGATTTAAACGACTTAATTAGAGATCTGGGACTGTCAAAGTTAGCTTCAGAAATTTTTACTTCAAGGCTAAAAGAAAGAAAATTGGTAACGAAAGAAACTAAAATTTCTTATTACCGCACAAGAGAACAGAATTTCCTTAAATATTTTGCCGAAGGAGACAATTTCGTATTTTGTAAAGATGTATCTGGATTGATGGCTGCAATGGGATTACAAAATTATGTTTCTAGTGAGTGGCGTTTATTCATAGACTCGTCAAAACGGAGTCTAAAATGTGTTCTCTTACAATATGGGAATAAATTAGGGCACATTCTACAAAAGTAAAAGAAGAATATAAAACTATTGCTCTGGTTTTGGACAAAATTAAATATGTGGAAAATAACTGGATATGTGTTGATTTAAAAATGGTCAACTTTCTATTAGGTCAGCAAGGTGGTTACACAAAGTATACTTGTTTTCTTTGCTTGTGGGATAGTAGAGCTAAAAATCAACATTGGGTCAAAAAGGATTGGCCTACTCAGAAAGATCTAGTTCCAGGACAACAAAACGTGATAAACCCACCTTTTAGTGTCAAGAGATCGTATAATTTTGCCTCCGTTTCATATAAAACAGTTTGTCAAAGGTCTTAACAAAACTGGAAATTGTTTTCTATTTCTATCAAAAAAATCCCGTAAACTGAGTGTAGAAAAGATAAAAGCGGGCATTTTTGATGGGCCACAGATAAGATCATTAATAAAAGACACAAAATTTACTGACAATATGACAGAAATTGAGAAAAACGCATGAAATGAGTTTGTTTGGCTTGTTCAAAATTTTTTGGGAAGAAAGAAAAGTTCTAACTATTCTCAACACGTTGAACAACTAATGAGTCACTTTTAAACTCTTGGATGTAACATAAGCATCAAGTTGCACTTTCTTTACAACCACCTAAATTATTTTCCCGCTAATCTTGGGGATGTAAGTGAAGAACAGGGCGAGTGATTCCACCAGGACCTTCGTACGATGGAGGAACGGTATCAAGGCTACTGGAACGCACACAAGATGGCTGACTATTGTTGGAGCATTCAAAACAGTTCTATGGGTCTACTCTGCAAGGAAGTCTTATAAAAGAAAGTGTTCACCTTAAGAACTAAATAAAATATGATTAACTTTAAACAAATTGTGTTTTACTATGAAACGTCCATGTGTCATATTTTCTAAACTAGAGCTATTAGAGAAATTTAGATTACAGATTTGAAGTCTTCATTAAAAATTAAGCTAGTGTCATGTAATATAACTCAATCATCAGAAATGCTGTTGTGCAGTGTTATTAAATCAGCCTTGTGCAAATATGTTTCAAAAAAGTATCACTGGCACCCCTACTATATAGACTTTATATCAGCATTGAGATTCTCATCTTTCAATTCGGCACGTGTTGAGACGACTATCTTCGTTCCACACAATGCAATTCGTACGTAATGTCTCTCTCTATTCACTTTGTTACGTGTTGAGTACGCACATAAGAATCCCTGTCCAGTTGTTTAAATTAACGACATGTGCTGATATGTGATGGAGGAATAAATCTAAATGTAATAAACAAACGCTCTAGACAATGACAAGTTAGGAGTTTATATTTTTTAAATTTGACTTTTGAGACTAGAAATCAACCTAAATTGGAAATTTAAACAAAAATTAAAGACAATATTTACTTTTATATTCACGCTAGCATAAAAAAAGGCTAAATCGATAACTACTTTCTGGCATGGAACGAACATCTCATTCACATCTCATTTCAAATTGAGATGTAAAAAATGTAATCTGGACAGCTACATCTCGGATAAACAAACGCAGATGTCAGATGTAGATTTAATAGATGTGTCCGATGTAGATAAACAAACGCTCGAGGTGCGAAAATTGCATCGGATGTGGATATTCAAACACAGCAATAGGGTAATCGTCGTAGCCAACTCAACAATTGCAAGGGGAGGATAAGAGAGAGAGAGAGAAAGAAAGAGAGAGAAAGAGAGAGAGAGAGCAATTAGGATTAAGATTCAATATAGTGTCGCGCTTTTTTCGCACATAAGTAATGAGATATTGTCGAATAACGGGAAAGATTGATTATCATATTCGTAGAAAATATAGATCTTTTTAATAGTTGGGTATTTATAACCCTTATATAACATACTTATACTTGGGTTGAGCTTGTTGAAGATATCTGCCACGCTTCAATATGTTGAACAATAACAACAATAAACGTAAAAATATGATTGTACTGGCTCTTCAAACATTTGTTGAAAATTATCCGAAAAAACTAGTTGAGCAGTGGAAAAAAGATTAAAAGTGAGAGAGATAATTTGGCATCTTTTTAATTGTTTTACTGAATCTTGGACGATTTGAAAAAACCAAAACAAACAAACCCTATGATACAATAAACTTGCTTCAGTACCTATATGTAGACACTGTTAGAAACACCGATTTCAACAGCGAAATCCATAAGTTTCTGTATGATGCTTTGATTCTGATGAATCAATAACATATTTAATTATAATTGCTGTTTTTTTTTTTCAAGAACCATTGCTGAGACTCCTTACAATGAATATTCCTCAAGATCACATTGTATTTTTACCGTGTATATCACACATCGTAGCAATGATTCTAAAAATTTAAGATCCTCCAAGCTGCATCTTGTAGATTTGGCAGGGTAAGTACAATTAGAGCAATTTACTACTTTCATGTTTTCATATTTTCAGGGAGAAAGAATGGAGAGAAAATGGAGAAAAGTAATAACATTTTTATTCACAAATTTTATATTTGATTTTTAGGTCAGAAAGAGACTACAAAAATAATTGTTCAGGTGTTGTAGTGCACGAAGCAAAATTTATAAATCTGTCATTGTATTTTTTGCAGCAAGTTATTCTAGCCCTTTCTGAATCGAAAAGGTCGCATGTACCTTACAGAAACAGTATGTTGACGCATATTTTAAAAGATTCTTTAAATGGAAATTGTATAACTACTATGTTGGCAACATTGTCATTAAGCAAAGAAAATTTTCAGGTTAGTGGTTGATAATTTATTGCTTTTCTGATTTTATATAAGTCGCCCCGGAGCGCAACGGCAAATAATATTAATAGCCGTCCCTTTCCCCGGACAAGCTCAGCTTTTGGGGTTAAAATTCACTCGTAAGGGGGTGAATTAGGGAGAGTATTATTATATTATTATTTGTTAAAGCCAATTAGTCATAAAATGTAAGACCCATACCATATTACCAAAGACATTACAATATAGAGACAAAATGTTTCATTCATAAATCCCATACAATTGCGGACTGTTATTGTTTTAAAATTGTTAGTGAGTGGAAGAGAGAAAGACAGATCTCTTAGGACTGGCTGGCAACGTTGTAAACAGTGTCGATAATAGTGGCGTAGAGTTTTAAACTTACCAGTAATGTCAGAGTAGTATGTTCAAAAAATACGTAAATAAGTAGGTATATTTTTTTTGTAATATAATTATAATGCTTTTTTCATGTAGGTAAATTTAAGTACAAGTAAATACAAGAGAATTTAAGTTACGTTCCGATTTTTAATATTTATTGGTTTATAGTTTATTGGCATTTACTATATATTTGCCTGGTATGATGTTAACCAAAATTATTTAAAATTTTAAATTAACATTAAGTAGGTAGGGGTATCTAATAAAACACTGTCCTAAAAATATATAATTTTTTAATTAATAATTACAAAAAAAGATGGATTGGCAAAAAATATCGTAAAAAAACTGTAAAAATTTTTAAAATAACGTTTTAAATATATTAAATGCCTTAATTTTATTAACTAAAATTTCTAAAACTAAAATTTATTAGTGTTATTACTTACTGCAATGTTTTTTTTGCAGCAGGTGGTGTTCCAACTAAAAACCCATACATTAGATACACATACATATAGGTAATAAATAATATTTAGAGGTAAACAAAAAATTAATATTTTGTATTTTTACCTGATGGATAAGTCATCCAAAAATAGAAAGCCCTCACACCGTCTGGGGTTTGCATCTTTTCTGATATATTTAGCACCATTTGCACGTACCAAAACATCTTCGGGAAAAAAGTGTTCTGAATACAACTCTGGGTTTTTACGAAGGAGCTGATTTTCAAGGATCTCTACTAGAGAAAACCAAAGTTTTTTTTTCTCAGGATCTTGCGGAAACCTAAATAGAATATTAAAAAATATGTATAGGTGCCTAATAGGTAAATAATTTAAAGGTATTCTAGGTACATTTTAAGTTAAATTTTCTTTGCCACTATTTAATAATTATTTATTGGTATAAGAATAATTTACTAATTTATAAAAGGAATATAACTTTAAACATTGTTTTAAAACTGTTTTAGACTACACAAGTTTTTGATACAATTTCTTGTACAATTTAAATTGTACATTATCAAACCTGCAATAAATTGTCTGAAAAATTAGATTGGATAATCATTTTTCAAACAAATCATGTACACGAAATTGTATAGTCAAAACAGTCTTAGGACGGGTGCCCTACTCCACTGGTTCAAATGAAAACAACATATCTTAACCTAAAAATACTTACCGATGAAAGGATAAATTTCGATTTAAATGATCTACCTTATTGAACACTACACGTGCATGTACCATAATTCTTTATATTTCTCACAAAACTTCACAAAAATAGTATTTTATAAATGAATAAATCAATAAGTCACACAGAAACTGTCAGAAATACAAAATAGCTGTTAGACCCGATTGGCAACGTTGCAGATGGTTACGGTAACTACATGTCATTCATAAAAATAGTAAATTCATAAAATAAGACATTCAGCGTTGCCGTATTTACGGAGTTCTTTGAACCCTAATATTTTGTTTAGATTAATATTGATTTTTAATAAAAAATTTAGCTTCTATTAAAACTTTAAAGAATAATTTGATAAAAAACTTTTTCATTTATATAATATAAAATTATAGTTATAGGATACATCAAATTTTATTTTTCGAAAGTAATTTCTCCAAATAATTTTTACAGACTGATAAAACCGGCAAAGACGCAATAAACGAGAATCTGGTGGGAATAATGATTTGCCACATAAAATTGTAAACAATTTGGTCTCTTAGTTGTAATGTCTTTGCATATTACCTTTTTTCTACGATCACTATACAAAGTAGGCTTTTGCGCTTCGAAATACAAGCGCAAAGTTGACGTTTTCCGCGAACTGACATTAAGTGACAGCTTTGTCGCTCGCCAAGCGGAAAATTTGACAGCTTTAATGCTCGCCTAATTTAAATTAGACATAATATAATATTTCTTTTTAATAAATTATTTGTACGTAGTTTGATGTTTTTGATATTTTGAGCGAGAAGTTTGTTGCCAACTTTTTGTCTCAAACGGCAAAGTATCACTTTTCGCTCTTAATACACAAATAACTATTTTCTATACCAACATGGATATTAGCTATTCTACGCACAGACTGCAAATCGAAAAAGTATGCCGTTGCGTTCAGCTGAACGAATATATTTCATATCCATTCTACCTACACTGCACATATATGAAATCCACCAATCACCGTTCATATTTTGGTAACCCTTATATTATTATTTTTTTAGATTTTAAATAAGTGACAATTCTGTCAAACTAGTTGTAAGTATATTTTTTAGTTATTGAGATTAAATATACATTAAAATTAGTTATTCTTGTGTAGAATCGATAAAGCATTTCTATTTTTATTTCGTCTATATTTAAAAATAAATCATAAATTATAATAAAACTGTGTGAAATCAATTCAATTACGAGTATTAAAACTAAAATGTTAGGTGTGTCCATGGAGCATTTATCTTCATGCCAGAGGTCCCGGATTTAAATCTAGGATTGGAGACTAATTAAATAAATTGTTTTTTTAAGGTTATTTTGTCTTTAAACTAGTAAAAGACAAATTATTTTTGAATTGGTTATTTAATCCTTATAACTTAATTTTTTTTTTGAAAATATACTGTACAACTCGAGTGGATTGGCCGTATCGCCATCATCCACTGTTTTTGCACAAACTACTATTTAAGTAAAGACTATCTCACAAATGGTCACGAACCGTAAAGATGGGTAAACTTCTAGTAGAGATAGGTGATCTTTCAAAGTCTGTTATATTTTAGACACCCACATGGATATTAGCTTATCTACGCACAGATTTCAAAACGAAAAAGTATGCTATTGTCTTCAACTGAACGAATATATTTTATCCATTCTAGGTAGTGAGAACACTGCAAAAAAATTAACTCCACCAATCACAGTTCATATTTTGATCAACCGACTGCTATTATTTTTAAAATTCTATCAAACTAGTTGTTAGTATATTTTTAAGTTATTGAGATTAAACATTCATTAAAATGAGTTAGTTATTCTTGTGTAGAATCGATAAATAATAGAATTTTATATTTGTATTTCGTCTATAATTATAAATAATTTGTTAATTTAAATAAAACTATATGAAATCAATTTAATTACGAGTATTAGAGCAAACAAAATGAACGTGTTAATAGTCCTGTGGTCAGGGTTTTTGCCTTCCATACGGAAGACTCGAGTTCAAATCTCAGATGGAATGAAATGAATTTTTTTCTTTTTTTTCTTGTTATTTTAATTTATAAATTAGTAAAAGTCATAAATTATTTTTAAATTAATTATTTTATCTTAATAACCTAAAATATTTTTTAATATTTGTAGATTTTTGTTAGTGGGTCGTAGAAAAAATATACTGTACAACTCGAGTGGGTTGGGTATCCACTCTTGTTGCACAAATTACTATTATAGCTGCTAGTGCGTTACAAATAGTCGTAGAGTAATGCTGCTACACTGCATATCATTTTTATTAGACTGAAAACGATTTGTGTATTTTCGTGGTACGAGTTTCGGCTCACAAGAACCATTTCTATGTAGCGAAAATATGTATATTTTTCAACAAACTACTTGTCGAATGAAAAATTGAGTTTTATTCTACTAATTATTTTGTTATCCCTGCCCAAAATTTAAAAAATATCAAATTGTTAAATATCTAGTTGCTTTTTTCATATAGAAACTGTCTAACTCTATCTGCTCTATAGTGTTTAGAACTTTTATTAGTCATCTATGATGAAAAATTGAATTTATATGAAACAATACGCTTAGATGTGCCCATATTTAGTGGGTTTACCGTAAATAAATTTGCAAAAAGTGGTTATTTGCCTTAGGAAACTCTAAGCACTTGCAGATTTGCACAAAGGGTTGCACTAATTACAACTAACGCTGTCATCAACGAAATAACTGATCCTGAACAAGAAATAGGAATACTGAGAATGAGAATACAAGAACTAGAGACTCAACTGTCCAAATCAATCACATTTTCGGTAAGTAAAGAGGCATTATTTATATAATTATATAATTTTTGTAAATAAGTAGTTCAGTGTCAGAGTTGCCTAAGCAATAATTTATTAAAAGTGAGTAAATGGAGATCAAAGCACTTTACCTGTGTTTATTAGACGTAATTGCTAAATAGAAAATGATCAATAAACAATTTAATAAAAATATCCACAACCAATTATTAATAAAAAATCTTTCAGTTAATAATAATTCCCTTCTTGTAGAACACCACAATTCTGTCCTCTCAGCAAAAAGAAAATTGCCAATTAGAAGTAAATAGTTTTATTAATTCAGATAAAAAACCCATTGCAGTTGAACCCGATATGACTCAAATACAATTCTGCTTCAGTTTGTTGAAAAAAGAACTCGATAAAAAGAGAAATGAATTGACAATAATGGAAAATTTGGTAAAAAAGAAAAAGTCGGAAATAGGAAGTTTAAACGCTGAAATGATTAAAAAGAATGCAGAAATTGGTATCCTTTTAACAATTTTGATCGTTGATAAAAATCATTTAGTCTAATGATCATTTCATATAACTATGGAACCAGACATAAGATAAGTAGTCATGGTAACGTTACTTTTCAATGTTTCGTTATTACAATTACTCTTCTTCTTCTTCTTCTTCTTCTTCTTCTTTTCTTCTTCTTCTTCTTCTTCTTCTTCTTCTTCTTCTTCTTCTTCTTCTTCTTCTTCTTCTTCTTCTTCTTCTTCTTCTTCTTCTTCTTCTTCTTCTTCTTCTTCTTCTTCTTCTTCTTCTTCTTCTTCTTCTTCTTCTTCTTCTTCTCTTCTTCTTCTTCTTCTTCTTCTTCTTCTTCTTCTTCTTCTTCTTCTTCTTCTTCTTCTTCTTCTTCTTCTTCTTCTTCTTCTTCTTCTTCTTCTTCTTCTTCTTCTTCTTCTTCTTCTTCTTCTTGCTTTAAAGAAGTAGGTCAATTTTTAAATTCCTTAACGTATTTTTAGACAAGTTAAAAAATGTAATAGATAGGATTGCCGATAATCCAGTATCACTCTGTGCGACTAGCCAAATTTGTATAAATTCTGTTGACTCATCCTATCAAAAATCCAAAGATGAATTACCACTTTTAAATTGGCAGGACCAAAAATCTTTGGAAGACTTCATGTCTAAACCAGGCATTTCAGATGACTTAAATTTTTACAAATCCGCTTTACAGAACAAACTAAAATTAGCCAAAATATACGCTGATACTATAGAGGAATGTAAAAGAAAAATCACTTTCATTAGAAATAAACTAGATAATAAGAACAAAACTGAAGAAGAAAAACAAAATTTAATTAAAGACCTTGAAGAACAACAAAGGTTATACAAAAAAGGGTTAGTAGAAATGAAGCAGATACAAAATGAGACCAATCATCTAGAAGCAGGATTAAAACAGGCTGAAATTCGGGTAGTGCACAAGTTTCAAAATTGGTTAGAAGATAAAAATTTACCAAATCAAATTTATAGTTATTTAGAGGAAAAAACGAGTCCCCATAATTCTGTTTTAAAACCAGCTGAAAAACCGAATTATGGAATCGTACCAACTGTTGTTACAAAAGAAAAAGAACATCAAAATTATGCATTAAAATCTAAACCAGTAGTTGTTCGTCTATATGATAGAAAGATGCAGCCTGTAAAAATTTCAAAAGTATCTATCCAATCAAATGATAATTTAAGTCAAAATTCGAAAAGTTTTACAAATGTGTCTACTGACAAATCGAAAAATATTGATGATTTGGACTATTTCGAATCAATTTCAAGTATCAAAAATGTAACAAAACCAAATACTATTCAAGAAATAATATCACAACGTGTAGAAAAAGCCAGTTGTAAATCCGATGGCGATAGCAGTAGAGAAAGTATACAACCATCAAAACTTAGTGATACCATAAAATTTCTCTAGAAAATAATATTGAAAAAAATTATGTTTCTAACAAATCTGATTTATCTAGTTTATTCATAGCCAAAAATAATGTTACTTCAACTTCAGAAGTTACCAAAGAAACAATTTCGAAAACATTGACAAATTATATAGACCCTCCTAAAGAAACAGCAGTGAATGATACTACAGAAGATCATAATGATTTTGCTGATTATTTTAACAATTCTGATACTTTTGAGTTCAAAGATTTTATGAAAACTGTTAAATTGTCGGGTGTTTCTGAAATAGATGAGGAAATTGTAAATTTTTATAGAAGCAAATTCTGTTGATTAATAATATTGATATCAATTAAATTCTCATTTAGAGTGAAATATTTTTTCTTTATTTCATTGAATAAATATATAATATACAGGGTGACTAGACGAAAATGTAACAGAGCCATTTATCAGGAACTGCGTCATACGTTCGGACCTTAGATTATACAAACCGTAGATAGAACATAAGCTGCGCATGCCTTCACTTTGAAATTGTCCCACTGACCATTCACAGTATCACAGTTGATTACGCCGTAGTACGTCACGTGTATGTCATGTATATAATGTCATTAAAATATATCGTGTCAGCGAGAATAAAGTTAATATTTTAGAAGTTAAATTGTAGAAATTAAAATTGAAAATAACAAGGTGTGTTGTAAAGAACTGTATGTATAATAAAAACGCTAAGTATGAAGCTGTTAAATGTATTCTACATTTGTTTCGGTGTTATTTAATTTGTTTGAAAATAAAGAATAAACGAGTAGCTAAAAGACACTCCGTTGTATGATTCTCCTAAAGTATAATAGTGATGCGCAAACGTGCAATCAACATTGGCAGCTGCAGTAATCTTGCTACACTTTACTGAAACTGGATTGCCAACATGTGAATGCATAGTGCAATCGACAGCAACCCCACATTGCGGTTCGTCTATTTCCGCCCTAGACAAAAACTCAAAGTGTCACATTTTATTGCATTGTACACGCCAAAATCTGTGAAATGGACTATATTCACTAAAACATACTTACCTACTGAATTCTAATATATTTTAGTAAATGATTAAAGAAAACAAAATTTCATATTATGTATCCATTTTTATAAGAACTATCAAATTCTAACAATTTTTTTACACACTAGTGCGATGAGTAAAATTTAACGTACTTTGTAACATGCAAAAAGATATTACCTATTTTAAGAACGACAAAAAAAAACTTGTATGTATACCTAAACCAAAATTGCAAAAAAACTACATAAAAATATATAAATATTCTATATTATCTTAAAAAAAAATAACAATAAATAATACAAACAACAACATTAGGTATCACAAATTACAGTTCCAATCATCACGAATTTTTGTTCCCTCCATCACAGCTTGGATCAATCTTATTTTATCATTGTATACAATTCCAATATTTTTTATTGTCTTTTGTTTTTCATTTTGGGCTAAATCAATCTGAAACAACAGCGACGCTCCATCTACCTTTATTGAGTTTCTAGGTTGGAAACCTTCAATTCCTAGAATAGTCAAATTCAAAACTTAGTAAATTGTATTTGAGGTTCCTTGTCATAGATTTTTTTTTGTTTTCACTTATAGTTACTAATTTTTTCTCTTTAAAAGCAATTCGACCCAACGAAAACCCTTGGAACCGTATCTCCATCTTTATCGGTTATGGCTATGAAGACTAGAGAGAAGGAGGCGTATCGGCAATGGTCAAATTTCCGTCCTTCTTTTTATAAAGTTCGTGAAATTGACTGTAGCTGGCATGTCGAATAACAGCGGTGTCAATTTTCTATGTAAGTCAATGTAAAATGAAGAGATTTTTTTAAAAAAATGGTGAAAAGAATCAAAATAATGTGAAAAAAAGTACCTGAGTACAAGTAACATGAGTGACAAAAAACATCAAAGCAAGATTTACGTCGTTCCAGATTGTAAAACAGGATACAAATTAAATGTAAAACTAAAGAAAACACAAGGAGTAATCAATTCAATGTCTTTTTAAAGATTCTAATGTAAGTAAAATAATGTATTTATGTCAAAATATAATATTTATTGTAAACTAGTCACAATATGTATCTTACGGAGTATAGTTTATTTTATTACAAGTTTCTATACAGGGTGTAACTAAATAAGTGTAAAACATTTAAGGGGGTGATTCCTCATCGAAAAAAAGATAGGATCTTTCATATAAAGAAACTTCATTGGAGCATCCCTTGTTAAGATACAGCCCCTTAAAGGAGGTACATAAAATTTGTTTAACCATTTTTTTTACAAGCACTAAACAAGTTACAATATTAAAATTAACCTGTCATTTTCTACTACCAAAAAGACACTTAGCCAGTAATTTATTTGGTTTACCCCATGGTTGTAAGGGGGTGGAAAACGCAACCCCTAAAATTTCGTTCCAACGTAACTTTTTGTCTTATTATTTGTTTACTATTTATTTCCGATAGCCTGTTTCATTCTAAACAAAAAATGTCTCTTGAATTTTTTGTCCAAAATAAACCAGTTCGCAGCAAAAAATTATTTTACGAACAACTACAGAGATACATCGTCATAAATGCGAACTGGATTTATTGTTATTTTTTAGTTACTACCTGCATGAAATGATTAAAAAGGGGAATAATCAAAACTAATTTATTAATAACAAAACATACAACATGTAGAAATCATAGTAAATGTTCAATATGTCTACCTTCAGACATTACGCATGCGTCTAGACGTCGGCGCATTGAGCCACGTATTCGCTCAAATAATCCGGGAGTCTCTCTAATTACCCTGCATGCATCGATGATGCGGTTTCTTAAGTCCTATACATCGCGAACAAGAGTACGATAGACCAAATGCTGCAAATGGCCCCAAGTAGAGAAATCGAGAGGATTGAGATCCGGGGATCGAGCGGGCCAATTATGTAGTCCTCCTCGACCTATCCACTGATTTGCATATGTTTCAGTTAAATTCTGACGTGCTACTTGACAAATGGGCGGGAGGCCCATCATGCATAAAAAACATGTCCCTTCTGACGCCCAAAGGAACTTCATCCAGCAGTACGGGATGCACTTCTCTTAAAAATTGAACGTTTGCCTCACCATTTAATCGAGGAGGTAAAAAATGAGGCCCAATTAAATAATCACCAATAAATCCGGCCCACACAAGAGAAAAGTGTTCTTGATGGTGAGTTTCGACAATAGCGTGAGGGTTTTCATTAGCCCATATGTGGTAATTATGAAAATTAATAATCTTGTCCCGAGAAAAACTACATTCGTCTGTGAATTCGATCGTCTTCAGAAAGTCACGATTTCTTCTAATAATTTCCAGCATCCAATTGCAAAATTCAAGACGGTTCGGAAAGTCTCGCGGTAACAGTGCCTGTACTCGTTGCAGATGGTAAGGGTATAAGAGATGTTCCTTTAAAATTCGAAATACCGTCATATGATCCACATTTAGCTGGAAAGCAATCTTTCTAGTACTGGTAGTAGGTTGTTCTTCAATAACATTAAGTAGTGCTTCCTCAAGCTGTGGTGTTCTTACTTCTCGATGGCGACCACAATCGTGCGTTCTTTTGTTGAATGAACTATATTCTCGTAATCGTTGATGAAGTCGGGCAAATATTCTATGTGAAGGATGCTGCCATTGAGGATACATTTCAGCATATCTTCTAGAAGCTTCTAAACCATTTCCCTGCGACAGACCGTAAACGTAATGCATATCAGCCATTTCCTCATTTGTGTATGCCATTTTAATAACAAGTGAATTATTAAAGTAACAAATTACGAACAGAACAACATTGCGCTGGTTCAGTGATGATGTAATTATGGTTCCACTGACAATTAAAGTGACAGTAGATTTTTTGAGGGCGTTTTGTTCGTTTTGTTTACCTAAATTATATCGTTTTTTCAGTTTTATAAATATATTCCTAAAGTAAGTAGATAATATGCATCAAATATACAATCGTTTAGTTACCAATTACATACCTTTAAACTATTTTTTATGACCTGTTAACAATATTTTGAAATAAAATAAAAACAGTAAAAACGTATATGTCAAATTTATTGATGTTTTTGTTAAAAGTTTGGTTAGAATTAAATGTCAGTGGAACCAAAATGACATCACACTGAACTAGCGCATACACAATTAGTATTACTTCAATTTCAAAAATTTACAATCTGACAGCTTGATTTCAATGTAATTGTCAGTATCGTTAATAGCGGCCTACTAGATAAATTATTTTCCCTTTTTGGCGATATCTATCTTGTTCGTAAAATAATTTTTTGCTGCGAACTGGTTTATTTTGGGCAAAAAATTCAAGAGACATTTTTTTGTTTAGAATGAAACAGGCTATCGGAAATAAATGGTGAACAAATAATAAGACAAAAAGTTACGTTGGAACAAAATTTTAGGGGTTGCGTTTTCCACCCCTTACAACCATGGGGTAAACCAAATAAATTACTGGCTAAGTGTCTTTTTGGTAGTAGAAAATGTCAGGTTAATTTCAATATTGTAACTTGTTTAGTGCTTGTGAAAAAAATTGTTAAACAAATTTTATGTACCCCCTTTAAGGGGCTGTATCTTAACAAGGGATGCTCCAATGAAGTTTCTTTATATGAAAGATCCTATCGTTTTTTCGATGAGAATCACCCCCTAAATGTTTTACACTTATTTAGTTAATGTAATATAAAATTTTACAGTCATAGATCCTGACTTACAAACAACAATAATTATACATTAAATTTAAATTACTAGAAAAGAAAATATATTTTTTATAGAGTTTTAATGTTAGATAAAGCGTTGTTACTGTTATTTTTTTTGAACCCCAATTGTGTCATTGTAAATGTTTTTTATAGGATACTAATTGCTTAGAACAGTAGTAGCATATATATCGTTCCTAGTACCGATAAAGCCCTTACTATAGATGATGCTGTTCTATATTTTTTAGAAGATATCAAATATTATGAGTCTATTTTTAGCAAAATAAAAAGGGGAAAGCTGAAAAAAAAGAATGAGGTAATACCATGTACATTCCCCCTTTATACTTGTATTACAATAATTAAAAATCTGTTAACTGTGTTTTATTTTGCTCTTAAAACTATGTATAGGTTCAATTCAAAAAATGTTTGCCACAAAACTGTACTTATCAAATTTCAGCAGTTAAGAAACCTTTTCGAATTTGGTCATACCTACCTAATTTGTATTTTATGTAAATAAAATTAAATAATTTATCAATTAAAACATGCAAGACTTGTTTAGAAATAAATACAACAGTATGTTCTGTGCTTTATTTAGCTATAAACAAGTTTGTTTTTATTATTTTGACAAAATTATGTATAATTCCCATAAGAAGCCATGTATTTTAAACACTGTAAGTAGTACCAGCGCCCATGCAGTTAATTATAAAAGCTCAATTAGCGTCCGTTTTTTGGGACCGTATTTTGAGTATGCCAATTCGCCTTAGGGTTGCCACCTGTCCTTTTTTAAAAAGGAGTCCTGTTTTGAAGCAAAATGTCTTTGTGACTTTTTAAAGCTTAAAATGTAATTTTTACGGCAAATGTCCTCTTTTACGACAAAGACAAATGTTTGACTGACATCACATATTTTTGAAAGAGCCATGGTTTGTACAAAAATATATAAGCTGAAGGACCTTCTACAGCTCGAGGCTTTTTTGTGTTTTATAAGTTCACTAAAAGGATGAGGACTTTTGTATACCAGAGTCCTTTTTTCACTTTTCAAAAAGGTGGTAACCCTAATTCGCCTCCTTATCTCTAGTCTTCATAGTTATTATCAACTTGTTTTCGTGCCAAAATGAAAAAGTGGTACTTTCCCAGTGTAGCGCCAAAAATATATATTTTACACAACAGAATATTTATTGGTCATACATTTATAAAAAAACATTTTACAGCTTAGGAATTTGCAAAAAATAAAATAAATCAGAAATTGAAAACTGCAGACCCTACTTATAAGGTATCGAATCACCTACCATCCTAAGTAACTTTCTTCGAGAAACACCCAATATATTTGTGCCCAGCTAAAAATCCATGCATGTGTTTTTTTATCGATATTTTTGAAAATAATCACGATGCATAAATTTTCGCCTAGAATGGTCTACAAAGGAGTAGTATTTTGCTAAATTACACAGAATCAAATATTATTACTTAGTTATGTATAAAACAGATTTTTTATTTAGGAAAATATAAGCTAGACGACATACTCTAAATAACATAGTCCCACAATAGATCTGAAAAGGTCACGGTGAATAGGAACAAATAATGTCCAACTCTTTTCAAATCTAATCTAATCTAAAAAAATATTAATATTTTAACACACTAAACCTGTGATACAAATATTGATCAATATGTATAACACACCATGTATATCTGTAAGATAAAGTCATCAAATATTGTTCGTCCTTGCACCTTTTTTTATTAAATAATGAATTTGACTAACTACTGTAATATGACTTTTTATTCGAATGTGTCAAAAAATCATATTACCTTTTTTTTTTACGATCACTATCCAAAGTAGACTTTTGCGTTTCGAAATGCAACGTTTTCCGCAAACTTACATTAAGTGACTGCTTTGTCGCTCGCCGAGCGGAAAACTTGACAGCTTTGTTGCTCGCCTAATTTAGATTAAATATAATATAATAATATTTCTTTTTAATAAATGATTTTGAAGTTATTTGGACTTAGTTTGATGTTTCTTGTATTATTATTCAAGTTAATATTGACCGAATATTAACTCGTTTTTTAATGAATAACGTAGATATAGGCAACACATTACACACTATTTACGACAAATTTTTAGTTTTTACATCTATTTCTTCAAATAATGTGATCGTAGAAAAGATCTTGTGTGCATTTTGAGCGAAAAGTTCATTGCCGCTTTCGACAGATTTCTGTTTCAAGCGCCAAAGTATCACTTTTTGCTCTTAATACACAAATAGCTATTTTCGGAAATAAAAGATTATCAAAAAGTATAATTTCTAAGTACTTCAAATTGATTACTGCAAAACACATTTGATAGTATTACTTTAAGGTATGTTATGTTGGGAAAGGGTGTTAATGTCCCCTTCCGTCACTAATGCAGCAATCCTATCTTCTCAAGGAAGTGTAGGATTTATAGTGGCTTCAATTTAGGTAAATCTCCCTCTTATATTTGATATGCTTCTAGGTATAGTGCCCTTGGATTCTGGAGTGCTACACATGCCATCAGAATCTGCACTCACTATCTTCTACAACTTTCAGTCTTTTGAGTCGGCAATGCCCTGTTACAATGCGTAGCGTGTTATTGCTCAGGCAGATACAAGCTTCCGATCTTTTCTGGATATATTCACCCAGAAGTCTTAGCACAGAAGTCTTAACCCCAAGAGATTTTTCCAATTATCTGTTCTTCTACTGTCCAATTCTTTTTTAATTTGTCCCAATATTGTTTTACTACTGATACTGCAGAACGGCTCAGGCCCCACAAAGGGTGTTTGAGCGCCTTTTCTTGTGAAACTATCTGCAATCTTGTTACCCATTACTCCTTTATATCTCGGGACCTAAGTGAGAGTAACTCTATTTTCCTCGCTTAGCTCATTCAGTTTTCTAGGCATTTCCATACCATTTTCGAGCTGATTACGTAAGAGCTCAGCGCTTTGATGGCTGCTTGGCTATCGGACATGATAATCTCTTGTTTGCGATAGTTTCTCTCGATGTAAAACTGGATACACTTCTCAATGGTATTAATTTCCGCCTGGAAGATGCTTGGGTATTTTCCCAAACTTTTAGTGTTTGGTTCTATGCCCATACACTTCTATTTCAGTTCATTCTATGGTTTTGGAACCATCCGCATACCAGTGAATAGCATGTCCTTCGGTTGTAAGCTTGATGGATTCGTGACTCCATTCTTTCTTGCAGCTCTGCTCTGTGGTTTTGAAGTTTTTCACAAAACTGTTGACTTCATCCTAGGGCATATCCCAAGTATCTTCGGTCTTGAAGCTAGTAGACTTTAGTCTGATTACTCCGTTCCTGATCAAACTATATCGTGTCTTTTTTGTCACATTCTCTATCATTTAAATGTAGAAGGGTGAGGTTTATATCATTCCATTGCGGCCGTATGATAGGTTCTCATTGCACAGGTGATGTAAACACAGGCTAGTTTTTATATTATTATCTGCCGGTATATATAAGAGAAACAAAATCCGTAAATATTTTTAAAAATAAAATAAAACATGTTGCAAATGAATAGGCATGAAGTTCACGCCGTAGTCGATCCTATGCAATTCTTAGTATAAAAAATTGTGATATTCATTTAAATAAATGTATTTAGTTTTTAATATTTAATTTTTATATATTTACCCTGTAATTTCAATGTTTTTAATCGATTATAATTATTTATATTATTATTATTTTATAATTATTCTTTTTTAATATGATTCAATAGATCTGTTTTAATAACTATTATTTTCATCATTTTATTGAAATTTTATAAATATACATGTAACTGAATAGGTATATAAGAAAAAAAAAGTGTCAATGGCAAATCCACGTGCTGGCTTAGCCTTAGTGGATTTACTAGGTTACTTACACTTATATGTATTTCTAATAATTAATGTAATTATTGGGTAATATACCTTATATTATTATTATTATTATTATTATTATTATTATATTTTTGAGATATTAGCTCTCTTAGTAACTAAAATAGATCTGTTACTCCAGACTATAGCCCTGCAAGTGATGATTGGTTTCACTATTGCAGTATACATCCATCGCAGTGTATTTGGGTTACATCCCCATCGTTTACTCGCAATGTTTCTGCATACCATTAGAGCTTTTGTGGCCTTATTTACTACTTTATTCTCATGTAAGTTTCAGAGAAGTTTGTTGTCTAAGGGTAGGCCCAGATATTTGACTTCATTTTTTCATTCCCTATCTATCCCAATTTGACGGTTTTGGGATTGAGTTTTCTTTTCCTTGAAAAGGCCACTAGTGTGGTTTTCGTGGGGTTTATACTAAGTCCCACCTCACGGCACCATCTTTTGGTGTGTTCTAGTCCTCTTTGGACTATATCACATATGATATTACCAAACTTGCCTCTAGCAAATATGACTAGGTCGTCGGCATAACCTTGACAGGATATAGCGAGGTCAGTCAGTCTACATAGAAGTTCGTCTATGGTCAGGCTTTACATTAGTGGGGATAGAACCCCTCATTATGAACTCTGGTTGTGCAGATGAAGATGGTGTCCTGTCCTATCTGTGTCTCTGCAGTTCTCGTAAATAGCAACTAAGCTATCCATCTGGATATGGTGCTATCTACTCTTCTATATGCAAGTGCTCTTTTAATAGATTCGTGTGGTGTGTTGTTAAATGCTCCTTCTATGTCAAGGAAGGCACATTCTGAATTACGTCATTCAGCTATACTAGGGCAGTTCCAGACTGCTCCGGTTATATTTTAAGGTATATTTCTGTTATTTATGATTAGAGAAGAAAATTCTCTGTGATGTCATTTTCTATATTTTTCTCATATATATGATTTCTCTAAAATGGCCTGTAATAGACAAATTTGAGGAAATAAATAATTTAAAATTTTTGAAAAAAATAAATATATGGAATATATTACTTTTATTAAAATAATTACATTCTCCAATCATAAATAACAGAAATATATCTTAAAGTACACATCCAGATGCTCCGACATGCCCAAAACCTAATTAGTTCGCCGCATGATGAATTAAAGCTTATGTTTAAAATTTATTTCTGTTTTTGAGTTATCGTGGAAACATACACGCAGGCATACACACAGACAGACACAGATAGACTGACATGATCGCGAAAATGGTCAAAAGTATTCAAGGACCTCAAAACGTAAAGATCTGTCTAAAACTGAGGTCAAGAAAATCATGATTCTTTTACTTTCCTTACTAGATGCGGGGCAGCATTAGTAGATACTTCTTATAGCAAAGGTTTGATATATTATGAGACACACCACTACGAGTTGCCAGGCTCGACTACATCTTACCTGATACACTTGTCGAAGTTGCTGGAAACCCTCAACTTTCCGCGCTTCTAACATAAACTACTATTTTTAATCTTACCTTTGTATTCATAAAATTGGAGTAATCTTCTGTCCTCCAAAAATGCTAAAATTGTCTCTCCTTGGCCAAATTCGACGGAAAGCAAAGAAGACGGTTTATATGCAGGCACTTTATGAAATAATTTTCCTGTAAATGGATTTTCGTAGATCTAAAAATATATTTAAATTTATTTACTTTATTTTGTAAAATAATAAGTTACTTCCATGTCAATAAATTGGATGACAGTGCAATCCACAATACTTAGTATATCCTTTAATGAGCGAGTAATTGTAATAAAATTATTGCATAATCATTTTATATCATCGAGATAGAATAAAGTAGAGAGACATAAACACTATTTTGTGATATGACAGATGGACGTACTTCGAGTGACGGAAAAGTGTAATGAAAATGGCGATTTGAGTGGTACTTCGATTTCTTTGAAGTCAATAATTTTATATTTGAAAACTGACGGAATGAAAATAATTTTATATCATTTAAATGAAGATATTTAGCAAAAATGGCTTTTCTTTGCACCAAAACTGACTAGCTCCACTATCTCGAGTTTGACATAAGAAATGTTATACGAAATTGCGGACACTTTAGCATCGTCATAGCAACTTCTCTTTATTTTATCTCAAAATTTTATATCTTATTAAGAATTATATCGACTGGTATCATCGAATTAACAGTGCACAAGAGAATTAAAACAAAAAAATATACTAGGAGCATAAAATTATAGCAGAAGAAAAAGTCATCGTAATATTGTCACTTTTTAGTTATTCTCAATGAAAAGAGAATATGGTGTGCCAAAAAATGAAGTAATATAACTTCAAAAGCGATCTCAATTTTGAAATAGAATTCATATCTTTGTGAGATTCAAAAGACTTTTTTTTCGCATGTAAATTTCCCTAAAGTTACACAAATATCAATAAATAAATATTTTTTTCATTGTTACCTTTATAAAATCTAAAGACCCTTTGACGACTGTTTCTTCATGATGAGCAACTGCTAAAAGATTTTTATGTGCACTTTTAGTACCGACATTTAAAACTACCAACTCTCCTTCATCTTTTCCAGGAATATATTCATTAAAAACTTCTCTGACAGAACCTTAAAGAATATGAAAATCATTGTTAGATGTCGGCTATCAATATTTATTAGGTATTTTAAAAAGATGTAAAATTAAAAGTATCCTCAGTTTTTTACCTGTTATAGTGGTCTCGGTATTTGGATCTAAGTCAAATTCTACTACTGGATCAATACGGTCTAAATAAATTATGCTGTCTCCAGTTCTCATAGCTAAACCTGTTTTAAGACCTCTTGGTACAAAATCGACATAATCTAAAACAATATAATTAAAGTACAACAGTAATATATAATCTACATCTGCTATAGAAAAATGACGCATTTGTTGAATACATATAAAGCAATAAAAAATGTTCCTGAAGTATCACGTATGTCGGAATTACAACTTTTCTTCTTTTTCAAACGACAGATTGGATATCTTTCAGAGACGTGTATGGTCATTATTTGTATAATTTTGTCTTTGTCGGCCTGTTCTACTTTAGAAACATATTTTTTTGATGTTACGTTATAACTATGAAGACTAGAGATAAGGAGGCGAATCGGCCTTAGTCAAATTTCAAATTTCCGTCCCTATTTTTATGGAGTTCCAAAAAACTACTGTAGTTGGCAGGTGGCAAAATAACGACGTCTATTTTCTATGCAAGTCAATGGGAATTAAAGTGATTTTTGTAAAATTTAGTAAAAAGAATAAAAATAAGCTGAAATAAAGAATCTGGCTACAAGTAACAATGAGTAACAAAAAACGACAAAGCAGGATTTGCTTCGTTTCAGGTTGAAAAACGGGATATAAATCCGGTATAAAATTAAAGAAATCACAAGGCGTTAAAAATCCAAGTCTTTTTAAAGCTCCTAGTGTAAGTAAAATAATGTATTTATTTCTAAATAATATATATTGTTATGTGAGCCATTTCATTATTCAGTCATGCTCTAACCCTACAAGTTCCTCTCTATCTTATTTGGCCTTTAAGGCTCAACTTGTCCGATTATTATACATATTTAAACCCCTTAAGACCAAACCTATGGGACGACTATGGCGGAGGTGATTTCGATGATGTTCGAGAAAGGACGAGATAATATTTCTGGACTGTTCGAAATATTTCTAGATTGGTGGAGAAGCTTCTCGACTCCACCAAATTTTAGAAATTTGTATATAAATATTGGTGGATGAGCCATCAGAGTCAGTATTATATGAACAGTGAAGATAAATAGTAATCAGTGATATATAGACAGCTGACAATAAAGTATTGGACTGTGAATATAAATAGTGAACGATTCAAAGACATTAGAAATATATATAAATTAGAAATAATTGTGTTATAAAATAAATAAGTGTTTAAATAAATTATTAATAAATAAACTGTTGTTTTAAAGTAAACAAACATCACAATATTTATTGTAAAATAGTAACAACCCGTATCTTACGGAGTGTAGTTTATTTAATTACAAAGTTCTATAATAAAAAGTCATAAATCCTGATTTACAAACAACAATAATTACACATTAAATTTAACTTACTAGAAAAGAAAATTTGCTTTTTTATGTTTTTTGATGTTAGATGAAGAGTTACTACTGTTATTATTCTTTATTGAACTCCAATTTAGTCATTGCAAATATTTTTTATAGGATCCAAAACGTTTAGAACAATGGCAGTATGTGATTCCTAGGGCTGATAAAGTACTGTCTAGTTATGATTCTGTTTGCGAGCTACACTTTTTAGAAGATGATATTTTAAAAGTTGATGAGACTATTTTAACTAATGGTACTGTTAACAAAATAAAAAGGTAAAGGCCGAGATTAAAGAACGAAGCAATACCATGTATATTCCCGAATCTCCCTTCATACTCGTCCAGTATTAGGAAAAGACGAAAACCACCCATTTTAAAAGATCATGACTACAATATTACAAAAACCTCTCCAGTTATTTTATCTTACGTTCCTGGATACATTGCAAGAAAAGCTACCAGATTTACAAAATGTAAAACTTGCATTCGACAATTAAAAAGTATTGAGCCTCAGTCTAAAGATCAATTAATTACGTTAATAAGTAAAGGGTTTTTAATATACTCTTCTCATTCTCTAATTTCTTTAATATCAATGCGGGAATCGACTATCTTAGAGGTTTTATAAAAAAACCCAGTTCATCAAGAAACTCGTTTTGTAATCTTGAATAAAATTGAAGAAATGGGCATTTCATTTGTAGGGCGTGATGAACACAAAGAAAATATTACATCTGCAATAATTCGCTTTCATCTAATCAGTAGAATGCATTTTATTTGTAAACAAATTAATAAAATTGATGAAGCTGAAAAAGAAAAAAGTAGGTGTCTATGAAAGCAATCAAAATGGTAAATATGTATTTGTAATTAAGATTTAGAAATAATGAAAATGAAAAACCCCTAACTCCCCTACGAAAGTATTATACACTCATATTAACAAAGTGACAACAGGCTAAAAATTGATAAAGATGAAAAAAAAAAAAGAGAAAGAACAAATGCCTGCACGACCGGATCTTTTCAATTTTTCTTTAATTTCTTTTCACTTTGGGGATATGAGAAAGTAATTTTCATAATTTTGTAAGGGGAATTAGACATTTTTCATTAATTATGTTATTTAAGCGTTTTGCCACTTTTAAGAACAAATTAAATGCCGCCATTGTTAGTTGTCGAATACAAAATTACCACAAAACTCTACTTACCAAATTTCACCATTTAACAAACCTTTTCAAATTTGGTCATACCTAATTTTCATTTTATTTAGATAAAATTAAATAATGAATAGTAAATAATGTTTAACATAAAGACTCTTTTATAATTACACCAACATATTTTCTGTACTTTAGTTAGCAATTAAAACAAAAACCTATTTACAATAATTAAAATCAACAGTATTTTCTGTGCTTTAGTTAGCAATAAACAATTTGATTTTTATTATTTTCATAAAATTTTGTAAAATGCCTAACTAAATATTTTCATTTAAACCGTGTCTTAGTATGCTCTCAGTCCTATTTAGCTTTAATTAAAAAATAATTAGCCCTACCCATCAAATTTCAACACTTATCATCAATAATTTGCATTTTACCTAAATAGAAATAAATAGTAAATAATGTATCAATTAAAACATGCAAGACTTATTTAGAAATAAATGCAACAGTATGTTCTGTGCTTTATTTAGCTATAAACAAGTTAATTTTTATTATTTTTACAAAATTATGTATAATTCCCATAAGAAGCCATGTATTTTGAACTACGTAAAGAGTACCAGCGCCCATGGGGTTAATTATAAAAGCTCAATTGACATGTGATTTTTGAGACCGTATTTTGAGCAAAGCGATTTGCCTCCTTATCTCTAGTCTTCATAGTTATAACTTATAGATCGACAAGAATAACAAAAGCTACTAGATGCGCCAATGTTAAGATAAACATAGAGAACAACCGCGCGTATGGCCACACATATGACATTGTCGGCTTAAGCTATTTCTGTCATTCTGTACATTCAAAGTTTCTTAAAGCATACATTGAACAATTTCGACATTATTGTTAATTTATTTTCATTTACCTTCAAAAGAAACGGTCCATCTTCTGTACTTTACTGGCCCTTCCGAGTTTTCCATTTTGTACTCAATAACGCCGTCTTTACTATATGTGTAAAAAGTAGATGGAACTCGTGAATCATGCAAGATGTCTTGGTTGTCCATATTGAATTTTAACTAAAACATTTTTTCGTATATTTATAACAAATTATCCTCATAGTATACCAAAAGCAATGTACAAAAACATACGACAGGAGACCTATCAAAAACAGCAAATCCATAATGTCAGACAGTCAGAAACTAGTAAGAGGTATTACAAAAGACTGAGTTCGGAGAAAACAAAGCAATTATTATTGGCAGAATGTTCTAAAATAAGCACATGAGAAATATTTCTAGGAAAACCATATTTAAAAAGAACAGGAAAACTACTATTTATGTATATGGGAACAAGAACAGGACTCGTGACTGGATATGTCCCAGCAAAGGAACAACCCAGACAAAATAGAAATATACAATGGAGATCAGTGGGGGATCTAGGCTAAAGTCTTGGAGGGGGGGTTTGATGGACGGATGGCGGATGATAGCAGTTTGTGACCTTTAAAATTGGTTAGGCCAGTGTTTCTCAAAGTGTACACCGCGGAGCCCTGGGGCTCCGCAAAGCCTCTGTGAGAGATCCACGAAAATAATAATAGACAATAAAAAAATACTAAAGGAATACTATAAGGAAGTTCGCCACAAAACCATAAACCACAAACCACAAAAGGACCTGATTTGAGGACTTTTTTTTAGATTTCACTAAGAAAAAGCATCTGAGTTTGGTTGAGGACTATTTTTTTAGAAATGCCTCGGGGTTTCAAAGTAAAATTAGGGCTCCGTCAAAATTGATTTTATTTTTAATTTTGACGCGTGAAGAAAAAATAATAAGTACAAGGCTATTTAAATGCGTTTCGCACAGTTTGCTCCTCGGCTTTGATCAATATATTTTCGCAATATACTCCTAGTAACATATTATACCATTGATGTCGGAAATAATCAAAATAAGCTGATTGTATTACTATGGAAAGCGAAAAGAAAAAATCAACTTACTTCTAACAATTTTCCATTAAACTCCCAAATGTTGGTACCTCTAATATTGTTACAATTACTTGATCTATCCCCTTTCATCACCAAAAATAACTTCTCATTGTCAATGACCGGTACCATTTGCTCAACAAGTCCTGTAGAAACACTTAAAATCAACGGTACAAATTTAGCATTATTATAAACCATCAAGTCTGATAAACAGGTATCCTGGTTAATGAGAAGATATTGCCGTTTCTTGTAATCGAATTTAAATACATGTTTAATTGTGTTGTTGAATGAAAGCGTTTGGAAGTCATCGAAAAACTTAAATTTGTATATTTGCGATTTTGCTTCTTCATATAAGTGAGTTATGCTACTGCAAAGTCCAATGTGGTCTTTCTGGAATTATAAAAAAAATATTAATAAATTAAAGCAAATATTTGGGCTTAAAACTGTAATCTCTACTAGATATTGTGTGATAATTTAAAATAACATTCTTCCTCTTTGAATAACAACGATAATTTTTTAGACATTATTAATATAAATACTTTTTCAAATTCAAATTTATTAAAAAATAAATTAACGAAAAGTTTTAAAACAGATTTTCGAAGGGTTAGGGCACCTGAAAACGTCGATCTTTGAAAATCTGTACATTTTTAATTGTTTAGTTGATACATCAGTAAATAATCTTCTCAAAGTCTCTTATTCTTCTGTAAAACTGGTGGCATTCATATATTCCTTAAGCCTATAATGCTTATCATGCAGTGAGGACATATGGAAGGTGTCCTAATATGACAGCTGCTAAAATGGCATACTTGTTGCAGTTATGGAACTAAATAGGACGTATTCTACTTATTTTGATAGATGCACTAAGTGACATTCTTTTGAGGTATAACATTTTTTTTTTTGTTGAAAAAAAAACACTCCAAAAGGGGCGTTTATTAATATTACAATCTGATTAAGAGTTGATCAATGAGTAATTTTGTTATAACCTAACTTAACTAGTGTTGCAATCTTAAAAACTAAGGTTCTACTCGCTATTATACCTTAGAGTCTGATAACTTAATTACACTAAACTAACGTGTAACACTAAACCGCACAATGCTTTTCTTTGTTATTAACACACACAATCACTTGACTAACTCAAAAGGTTTCACTCTCTTGAGTCTTCTTGTCAGGTTCGTGTTGTCAAGAAGCTGAATCGCCTTAACGTTCACATGTTGGTGGAGCCGTTGTTCGTGACTCCTAGCGAATCTGGCGATAGTCTGGTCAACAGTGTCCATCTGAAGGTCTCAATGAAGATCGCTGTTTCTAATGTACCAAGAAGCATCGACAATGTTCTGGAATCTCTGGATTATTAGAATATTAATGTAGCTAGCACAACCCCAGAACTGAATGCCATGGGTCCAAATTGGTTTGAGAACTTGTTTATATAATTGAATTTTGTTATATGTAGATAGGCAGGAATGCCTACCAAGTAACCAGTACATTTGTACATTTTCTTGAATTTTATATCTAACTCTTGTCTTTTCTTTTTAACATGGACCTTCCAGCGAAGTCTTGCATCTAATGTAATAAGGGATCTGAGCATTATTTATGTTAATTGGTATTCTTTGACCATTTTTGTTAGTAAAATTAATATTAACAGATTTGGTTTTGTTTAGTTTAATACGCCATCTTTTGGTCCAATTATTTATTTGATTAAGTGATGTTTGTAGTTTATTTGCAGCCAAATGTAGCTATTGTGTCTTGTTCTAGTTGGGGTATGTCACAAGTGTATAACAGATACAAAGTGGGTCCCCTGTGGTACTCCTGCTTTAATTTCTTTCAATTCAGAGTATGCTTCATCTTGTTTTACTTTAAATAATCTATCTGAAATGTATGAATCCAACAGCTCTGAGTATGGCTGTGGAAGTAGCACATTCAGTTTATGTTTTAAACTATCATGTCATACTATATCAAAAGCCTGCGCAATATCGAGGAAAATGGCTAAACACTTCTTTGTTTTCTAATGCTTTTTCAATCGCATTTGAGATTCTATGAACCTGGTCTATAGTTGAATGGTTTTCTCTAAAGCCGAACTGGTAATCTGGAATAAGTTTCCTCTCTTCAATGATGGGTTTTAGTCTTTTGAGTAGTATTTTTTCAAATAGTTTCGATATTATAGGCAATAGAGATATTGACCTATATGACGAAACTTCGTTCGGAGGTTTTCCTGGTTTGGGGATCATAATGACTTCAGCTACTTTCCACAGTATAACATAAGTATAAAATAAGTTTAATGAACGCCGCAGGTTTATTTTTTAATGGTTTTACTGTCTAGACTATGTTTTAGACAAAAAAGTTTTGTGGGCGTTCTAATAACATCCTCTTTAGTAATAAATTTCGTTAAATGTACCAATAGAGGTTAACGCCTGTGTTCACGTAACTTAGATCAGCAAAGAAAACTTGTATTTAATGCAAAAAATTGTATTATTTAAAAAATGCAAAGCGTTTTTGGCTTTACGCCAACTTCAGTGCTTATCTACAACAGTATTTATACAGGATGTTTCAAAAAAAGATGGCTCCGTTGCTAGGATAGGTTAAAAACTTCAAAATAAGTTGGGTTTGCTCAGTAAAAAATTTTCGCAACGGCATTCGTTTTCAAGCTACAGAGCATTAAAAAAAATTGTATAGACATTTTTTACGATTATGTCGAAACTACTGGCAACATTGTAATGAAATTGTGTACGAATATGTATATGCACAGAGGGAACTAGTTACACGGTTCGTACCGAGTAGTTTAAAACATAATTTTTTTGAGGTTAAATTTTCTAGTCTAAATTATATGTGAACTTAGTGATGAGCGATATCGTGATTTTTTAGTAACAGCGATATTTGTTACTGTGATTTTTAAATATCAGTTATTTTAAGTCGTGACGTGATCACGGTTTTAAATGACTTATTCCACTGTTACTCATAAACAGGGTGTCCAGAAACGCTATTCAAAGAATGAAACCACGAAATCTAGAGCTGATTTTGTGACGATTTAGCCTAAATTACCTTAATCCAAAAATGCTTCCTAAGGGAGCTAGAGCTCTTTGAAGATAGCGCTCTAAAATTAGTTCAATTGAAATACCTTCTAAACGGTACTCTTGGTAAAACTCGATAATATGTACCGTTTTCGGAATATTTTGATTTGAAAATGATGAAGTAATAACTGATGCTGGTATAAAGTAGGTAAGTATTTAAAAAAAAAATTACCTAGTTATAAAACATTATTTTAATGCCAATGTTATTAATTATACAAAGAATCACAAGAAGAAAATTAAAATAAATTTAACTAAATACACGAAATATTCAATCAGTTAATGTTCAAAATGTTGTTCGTTAAAAAAGTTTAGGGTTCGTCGCAAACCTGAAAATGCTTTTGCCTGAGTTAGAGATGGAAAACTGACATTTATTATATTGTTGATAAATACGTTGATTTATAATCAAAATGTATTTAAATGTTGAATACACCAAAACTTTTGTGTCCAGAAGAGAAGAAAGAGTTTGAGAAAGTGAGCTTATCGCGACGTACTATTGTTCGACGTATAGATATGGTGGCTAGTGATATCAAAAAAACATTGACTGATAAATTAGCTGGTTTTCAATTATTTTCGATTGCTTTAGATGAGAGTACAGATTTATCTGACACAGCTCAGTTAGCTATTTTTATACGAGCTGTTGATGAAGAAGTTGCAGTGACAGAAATTACTGGTATTACGGCTGCTACAAGGGACCACTACAGGAAAAGATATTTTTGCCGATGTGCAAAGTACTTTTAAGAGCGATAGTCATCACGTGACCAACTGAATTTTGGCATCGGCTTGTCGGTACGCTGTTCTGTATGCACGCGTAATCTACGGCAACACTGCGCATCGTTTCCTCCTGCCCTCCTCGATTCCTCGAAGATAGCTATCAATTATTTTGTAAAGTACATCATCGGTTAAAAAGTTCGCGCGGCGTCCTACTGCAATGTCAGAAGTGATTTCGCATGCTATATAAAATCAAACTTTTTATTGTGTGACTTACTGCTGCCTTTTTGGCTATGCTTTTTACTTTCCTGTCTCTAGGTATATAGAAATTATGATTTTCTGTTCGACGGATCTTTACGTTTATGGATTCCCTGAATACACACGCACGTGTGTGTGTGTGTGTGTGTGTGTGTGTGTGTGTGTGTGTGTGTGTGTGTGTGTGTGTGTGTGTGTGTGTGTGTGTGTGCGCACGCACGTGTAATGTGTGTGTGTATGTGTGTGTGTATGTGTGTGTGTATGTGTGTACATGTGTACGTGTGTATGTATGTGTGTATGTGTGTGTGTGTCTATATATTTAATAACTTATAATCACCAAATTTTAAACTTAAGTTTTATTCTATCTTGGGGTGAGTTGATTATATTTTGGGCATAGTCGAAACATCTGGGGTGATTTTTCTAATTTAAGGTATATTTCTGTTATTTATTATTATAGAAGAAAATGCTTTCAATAAGAGTTGTTTGTAATGTCATTCTCTATCATTTTTGTTAAATACATATTTTCTCTAAAATGAACCGTAAGGGAAAATGTTATAGGAAAGGGCAAAATTTGCGTTTTTCGGTATTTTGGTGGCCAGTGAAGACATAAAATGTGTTGAATAATTTTTATTATTGTTTTATATTCCAAATACTTTCTGATTACATGGACTGTACTCAATATTTTTGATAACTCCACAGGAAAGTCATGTGTTGGACAGATGATATATTTTTTTTTTGTTCGAAATTTTTATAAAAAAATGACAAAATGTCTAATACCCTTCAGTTTATACCCAGGTATATGAATGAATACTGAAAATTTCTTCAGTTCTAGAGTTATGGAAAGTAACCGATTTTTGGTTATTTACATTATTTCATAATACATTTTAGGAAAATACTGACTGATTCATTTGATATATAGCTGAGAGCGGAAAATATACCATTTTAATATATGTATGGACAAAAAAAAACTTATGTTCTTGGTGAGTTTCTTATTTCGAGTCCCTTGTTATGCCTTGGATCTATAATTTCAGGTAAAAGACACTTGAAATAGAACGTTTTTAGTTTTTCTTCCACGTTTTCTTTCCAAAACTTATCATCTCTTGAAATCTGGAATTATAAGTATAAAGTTGGTAAAATATCATTATAAAAAATGTGAACCATTTTACCTTCTCCACAAGCATGCCCTTTGGTGTCCACACTATAAAGTAGCAATTATACCTTTTAGTGATATGTAATTGTCCCTGTATTTGATAATGATAATCGTGTTTTGGTTTGAGTCTTAGGTTATCATTTTCGTCTAATGTAGCAAAGGTAATAAGTTTTTGTTGTATTGCTTCAATAGGACTTAGGCCAGAGGCTTTTGTG